CTTAAGACAAGGGTTCTGAGCACCTAAAGTCTCTTAAAAATAATCAAAATTGGCTCTGGGAGAAATTCAGTCACGCAGACAGAAAAATAGGTGAGAGATTTTAAACATGAGTTAAATGTTAAATGACACCAAATTGAGCTGGGAATAACAGGGCTAATAGGATGCCAAACGGTTTGGCACTAGCACTAGCCTTATTTAATGCCACTAATGTGCTAGAAGAGAGGTTAAATTACACTTGCGGATACCACTAAAGTAGAAGGAGTCTCTCTCTAGCACAAATAATTACCAAAAGCAGACCGTAAGAAATTAAAAATAGGGGCAGGAAAAAGTATGAATCAATTTGGAAATGACCAAATTAAGACTCGTAGAAAAATAAGGAGGTACTTGGCTTCCCCAGGAGGGAAACAGGTCAGGGCAGATGATCCACGTCCAACGAGGCCAACACAGCCTCTTGGAAGGAGCAGAGACAGATTTGGGAGTAAAGCAAGGGAACAGCGGGTGCCAAGTGCTGTCTGAAAACATGTTCTTTGCCCCAAACACCTTGCAATACAAATGTAAGGAACAAAGCAGATCCAGGCTGGAAATGAAAGCATACAAGGAGAGAAGATTGTCTCTTGGGATAGGCAGTGATTTCGGCACTGCTGCGGGGAGGTTTCTGGTCGGGTCCCAGAAGAAAAGCAATTTAAGCAATGTCCATCCCCATAAAGGTGACATCGTTTGAAGGACCACTCCACAACGCCTCCCGCGAACGGTTCACCTTGCGTACCACAACCACGCACCTCCTCATCGAATTTCTCGCTATACAGCTTCTTCCCCAGACCCCGAGGCAGCCACGAGGCTCTTTTTTTATCTTTTCTTTCTCGGTAGCTTTATCTACATGCAGACCTCAAAATACAAGCCAGTTTTCAAGAGGCAGCGCTGTGACTGCCACCGATGATGTAAAATCATTCACCTCTTCCTATTTATAGTCTCTCCGTTTCTCTCCTTCTGTTGTATATGGATATACACGGATCATGGTGGCCTCTTTTTACTGCAGCCTTTGTTCTGGGAACTCAATATTGAGTTGTTTGTTCAAAGAAAGCTACCTGAAATCTGCTATTTCTGATGTAAAGGTCAAGGAGAGAAAAAAAAAAATTGACTTAAAAAAAAAAAAAAACAAACATCCTGACGAAATACACCACAGAAAAAACGAACAAGGAAGAAATCGGGATGAGCAGAGCCATGAACGTCAGCAGAACAAGCTCAGCTCCTGTACAGCATCGCTGAGAATGTCACGAAGGAGGCAGGAGGGACAGAAGCCGACAGCAAACAAGACTGCCTCACGTTCCTCCTCTGCAGTCCTCTGCTAACCGGCACTTTTTCAGTCTGAGAACTTACACCAAGGCAGCGTATTTTAAAACATGCCCAAAGAACACATTGTCAAAAGTTTCATGAATGAATAAACATAAGGAAGGCCAAGGCCAAGGGTATGAATATTTAATTATTGACTGACTGCAGGGATCCAGGCTGTTTTCTGCTGGCACCTGCAGGCTGCTCTGCCTCGTGGCCATGAAGCCGGAGGGAGCAGAGCACCGGTACCCAAACTGGCACCAGCAGATCTCCTCTGGGATCCACCTCTCAGGACCTCGGCTCCTGTTTCTGTAGCAGGCAAAAGCCAGCTTAGCATTCGGGCCCGAGAGAAACTTCCTTAGTTTTAATGGGCTTTCAATACCACGTTGTTTGCCCTTTAATCAAAATCTAAGGGAAATGTAAAACATGTTATTAAAACATTCAAAAATTCTGATTTGGTGCCATAGATACAAGAAGGTTTTTTCGCTAAAACGAAAAGCCTGGCAGAACCAACTCAAACAGTTCTGTTAACAAACTCAGTGAAAGCAGCAAAACCCACAGAAGTATTCACTGCCTGGGAAGTCAGCGGGAACCTTCCCATCGACCCAGCGAAGTTGGGTTGAGCCCACATTGATCAAACCCAACATTTTTCTATTTTAAGGAGCAACGGATTACCTGGAAAGTACATTTACCCATTAGTTCGTCCCTCCTCCCGGTATCACATCCCTTCCACCACCACCTGGAGCAGTGTAAGGAGCGTGGGGATGCAATCCACACCCGACCGTGTCTAACAGCAGAACATAAAAGGCCTTTTTTTACCTCCAAACCTCTAAGCAGTTCTAAATTTATGGCCTGCAGCATACACAAATCAGGGTGGGAAGTGTCTGTGCGTATCTGAAATCACATAAAGCCTGACACTCAGAAAAGCATCAGCCGGCTGGCACGCACAGATCAGTTACTGGAAAACAGAACAGCAAGGAGAGAGATAGGAAGAATCAATAAGCAGAGGCTCTGGTGTGCAAACAATTGTTACGGCGCGGGGACCTTGCTTGGCAGGGATGGAGGGGAGCAGCACGCACTGCTCCACGTGCTTTGACTACAGCGTGCGTGTGATGGTTTTCTTGCCTTCCCAGCAGGCGTGAAATGAGAGGCAGAGGGCTAAAGCCGTGTGTTATGCTGCCGTGACTTTTCCTGCGTGTGCGACTTTGCAGTACGACGTTAGCTGTGCTGAGCTCATGGGCAGGTGGACTGAACCAAGAAAAGCAGCAATTTCCCCCATGCAGCGAAGAGATGGATTTGGAGTAGTATGGAAGTACTAAACACGAAACAAACAGAAAGAACTTTAGGAAAACAATGCAACTCCTTTTTCTTTTCCTGCCTTTAATCTCTCAGTTTCTGGTGTTTATGAGATGGAGTCTGACACTCTGGCACAGGGTCAGCAGGCGTCGGGGACAAACAGGCTTGCTTCGACAGTAGGTCCTCTGACTCAGCAAAGTCATCCGTGTGATGCCCGGGGCAGCTCGAGCCGGTCCCTCTCTTTCCAGCTCTATTAGGCAGAAATTGTCGTGTGCCTCTTAGCATCTCTGTCTTGAAATCCTCCCCTGCTGCCTCTTACCACGACCTTGCGCTAATGAACAGGCATGAGTTGACATCCCTGGGAGACGGCTGTGTACCCTGGTCGGGTGTGCAGGCAGAGTGGCTGCGAGGTGGCCAGCCCAGAGGAATAACGTAGGCTCTGGGAGAGAAAGATGGTCTGCAGGGAGGTTCCAGCAACAGCTTTCACTTCTTGCTGCCCTGAGAAACACTCAGCCATCTCCCTAGGATGCTCCCACAGCTCCTTGTCCCTAGTGCCCAAGTGACCCTCTCGTATGGCAGGGTCTAAAACCCCATTTCCCTGCTAGGGATCAAGAGAGAGACCAAGGCTCTGATCGATCCAAACCTCCAAGTTCAGCATTTTCATTGTGTGTCAAAAAGAGTCAGCAGAGAGAAACAGGAGCCTGCAGCAGACAAGTAAGTTCGGAAGGGGTCGCATTACCCCTGCCAACGTCTTCCTCGTTCTCCTTTGTCTATAAAGGGAACCCTGGTGACCTCAGTGCCCAGCTGGATGGGCCCAGGGTTTTGTGCCAAACCAACTCGAAGGACAGGATGGCATCTGTCCCAGCCCAAATCTCAGCCCTCTCCACCAGACTGTCCACCCACTTCATGCTACCAGCCTTGACAGATTTAAGTGACCTTATGGGGCCACTGGAGCAAAGTCGAAGGCTTAGCCCTAAACTCTCCAGGGCTGATCAAGGGAGAAATGTTATCACTTCATAATACAGAGAGGGGGTCAGAGTGGATTACCCCTCAGTCCTCAGCAGCCCAGCACCATTTCAGGGGATCGAGAGAACGTTAGAGTTGAACAACCATCAAGTCTTGACTGACACAAGGAGCAGGGAAAGAACCATCTCTCAGAGCCCCTGGGATTGCACTGGAGGAAGCAAAAAGGGCACGATGTGGTCACAGGGAGTTGGGTTGTTTAGAGAGAAAAAACACACCAGAAAAGAAATCTCGAGTGATGAAGAAAAATGCTACGGCCTGCAGAGTTTGAGTTTCAAACATGCCCCATTCATGTGCAGCACAGAGATATACCCAAAGTCCAATGACTCCCTTTTCAACTTATTTTAATGGTGAACATCCTAGAACATATAAAATTTTAACCCTAAATGCCCCTTCCAGGAACAGCTGATGTCCCAGGATGTCCCCTCCTGTTCTGAGACTCGGTACAGCAGGGAAGGCTGGAGGAGCTTGGACATGATGTGTGTGCACATGTACATGGTGGGATGAAAGAGATGCAGGGTCTTGCTTCACAAGAGGTCCGCAGCCAAACTGTAGCCAACTCTGGACCAGTGTAGGCCCAGAAGGGCCCAGCCAAATCACGGAGCATCCTTTAGGAATCTGTTGGACTATGGAGGGAGCCTGACATACCTGGAGGTCACACCAACTTAGGCAGCTGATAGATCAGCTCTGCTCTACCCCCGAGGGTGATCCTGCTGTTTCTGCTTCTTAAGACATGATCCTTGTGAATGCCAGTGCTGCAGGAGGAAACCAGCACACACCTGCTCCCACCGCAGCAAGCCTGGCCTCCTCTCATCGCGGCAGCTAAACACACTCCCTGCAGGCAGGCTAAGAGCACCTTGTGCAAAACACTGGCTCCAAACATAATGGGTTTGGATGCGAGATGCAGGAACAGGGCACAGGACCAGGATCTTTAATAGAAAACTCCTCCCTGCCAGCTCAGGGAGGTGAGAGTGACTTTCTTCACCTGCCAGGTCTGGGTTGCACTCTTAGATATCTACACCAAAACCACACCCAGGCTATCTCATAGGGGAGAAATCAGGTGTAGGGGTGTGCTAAGGCAGAAGGTAAGCACAATCTACTCTAGAAGTTGTAAGGCTGCATTTCTCTCTGCACAACCACCTTGCTCCCTTTAGGTTTAGTATCCAAAACGTCCAAAGAACCTGCCCTGAAAAGCCATCTCCAGAAAGGCAATGCTCACCTCTCCATCGAGAGCCCTGCTTGGCCGGGGGCAGAGAGCTAGGGCCAGCAGCAGTTATGTGCCGATGTGGCCCTGCAGCCACCGCAGGTAAAGCTCTACGTCCCAGCCCAGCCCACTCCGGGGTCACTCTTACCTTTAAGCCAGTGCTCTCTGCTTCGGAGCCTTTATCTACACCAGTGATGTAGATACCCAGGGAATACTCTGCCCCTCCTCGGATCATGAGGCCCAGGGATTTCCCTTCATTCAGGACCAGATTCACCTGCAGAGGAAGAGGAACAGTCATTTCTGAGGTGTCCGAGGGCTGCACAAAAGCAGTGTCAGCCCCTTCTGTAGATGCCTCCAGACAACCGCAGCCCCCGACAGAGCTCCAAACTTCTCCGGGCTGCGGCTGGCTCCCGTGGCAATGCAGAGGAGGGAGCGGAGCAGGTTTAGCTGCTCCTGTGGTTCCCTAGGCTTGTCCGTCTCCCCGTACCTAGACAAACGGTCAGGGCTGGCTGTGGCTCCAAGGATATTTTAGAGGTACATGGGCTGCAGGGTGGGCAATGCCCCGCGCATCCCCGGAGAGCAGCACAGCTCACCACAGGCATGGGGGGGACAGACAGGAAAATGCATCCAAGGGGGCCATTTTCCAGTGAAGCGTGGACAACACGCAACGTCCATGATAAGGGGTTGTTTTGTCTTTTCCTGTTTTTCAATAATTCAGAGGCTCAAGAGGAGTGAGCAGGCAGGTCACGTTGAGAAGGTGTGGAAGTCTAGCTCTTTGAAAGGAAAACTTGGAAGAAGAGAGAAAGATGGAAGGACATCCAGGACCCAGGTGACAAATCCAGAAGTAAAGCACTTGCATGGAAGGAGGTTAATGCCTCAAGTGGAGCAAGTAATGTTATTTCAGGAGAAGTCTGGGCCTCAGGAGAGGAGATGCACTTTAGGCAAGGGCTGAGAGACCACTCTGCGGGTTGAAGTCCAGCTAAGGCATCGGTCAGACAAGGGACTGCCAGAGCTCTGCTGAACACTGCCCTTCTCCCGTCTGTCCTACAGAAAACCAGCAACTAAAACCATCAAATAAAAAAAGCGAGTTACTGGTTTCACTCCAGTTAATGGCAAACACCCTCGGGGTCCAGGTGTCACCGGACACAGGGTGACAAAGCAGTACCAAAGGGGCCCTTCTGTTCCTCTTCTGGAAGGGAAGAAACCGTGCAGGTGAAGGGAGAGGTAGGATGCACGGCCAGCTGGAATACAGCATGGATTCATGGATAGCCGTACGCCCGCCGTGTCCCTTGGCCGGCGAGGGCAGCTCCCGTGGGAGAGGGGAGGCAGAGGGGAGCACGACACCAGAAGGAACCGCCAGCGCTGGGGGACCGAGAGGGGTCAGCTACGTGAGGGGCAGCACACGTGGCCTGGGAGGATTACAGCCATAAACCAGAGGGAAAGTTGATCTGCGGCACTTTTCAGCTCTCTCCTTTTACAGGTGCATCTCTGAGGCAGATCCTCAGCTGAGAGCGATCCCCAAAGCACCAGGGACACCGGGGGAGCCGTGCCAGTCAGCACCGGCTGCCAATGTCCCCTCTGCCTGCCCATGCCCTGCGCAAACGTGATTACACAGCAACTACCCACATCCATCCAGACCGGGAAATCGCCCAGCTCCATTTCTCTCTGCCCCCTTCTTTCTCCTTTCTCTGCCCGGCCCCAGCGATGACTGCAAAGGGCCATTCCGGGCCCTCAGCCCCCCCAGGAGAGGGTACGGAGAACAAGGACCAAGACAAACCCCACGGAGGCACAGGGCGCGGTGGGGGAAGACCCCAACACAGCCCAGGCTGGGTCTCACCCCCCTCCGCCAGCCCAGCCATCGCCCCTGCAGCCATCACTGCTCTGTCCACGGCAGCTCTGCCGGACACCCCCACCCCACCCAGCACCCCATCCGTCCGAGGCCCAGAAGGCACTCAGGCCTCCTCCGCACAGCCGTGTGCCTTATTATCTCTAATTAATAATGCTAGCACAGAGGGGTTTTTTTCCATTTCTCCTGCCCAGAACAGCCAGCACATACTGCAACAGATGTCTAGTATTTTCCACAAACCTCCGACAGGCTGAAGTACCGGGCAGCACCTGGACAGCTGTTTTCTCCACCAAACGCTGGCCGCGGGGCTGATTTTGCAAGGAACGCCAAAGCTATCAGCCAGCTTCCTATCTGCCATCCTCCATCCTCTCCTGCTCACAGGGCCTGATGATTTATGGAAGTTCAGGTGAGAATTTAGAGTGAATGAGCAAGCCAGTGTTTAGCTCCCTTGGGGACTGCCCATTTAAAATGGCCTTTGTTCACTCGCAGCATGACATTTTCTAAATGAATAACTCCAGGTTTGGGTTTTTGGTTTTTTTTGCTTTTGTCCCAAGTTTTAAGTCATTTCTGGAG